CAACCAGTGACCTATTGTTGAATCCAAAGACAATTTCTTATCATCATTTTCCTCTCTGAGATGGAGCTAATCCTTTCCTTCCCAAAATACAATTCTCTCCATTTCTGTGATTCCACAGTCCTATCTGACATACCCAGTTAGCAAGTCTTACAGGTATTCAAACTTAACATACTGAAAACTGAATTTATCCCATTTTCTTTATTAAAACCTACTTCTCTCTCAGGCCAAGCACCAGGTTGTCACTGCCTCTTGTGTGGTTGTATACAGAGGCAAGGACCATTCTAGTGCCCCCCCACAGCGGCACCAGACTGACATTTGGCTGTGACCATGTGACAGAATCTTGACAGAAAGAATGTGAATAAACAACAAGAATGTGTCTCTTCCAGGCTGAGACTTTTAAGAAGTTGGAAAGCTTTCGCCTCTGTTTTTCCACTTCTCTCAGCTGGAAGCTCAGTGTTGTACGGCCGCATGGAAGAATAATACCAGGAAATGGAAGGAGCGTGGGTCCCTGACTCACCGTGAGGAAGACAGCTGCCTGCTAACCAGCAACACGTACATGAGCAAGAAATAAATGAGTATTGTGCTAAGCCACTGATACGTTCTGGTTTGCTTGTTATAGCAGCCTAACACACACCACTTTGTCTAGACATTCTTTTGATGGAATTATGAAAATAAAGAAATCTAGGGCATCAAGGAGAAGATTTAGGAGTATTTACTAAATATCAAGGCTTTCCAGAAAAAAAGTCTTACTCATGTAAATTCACTTTAATCTCAATTCTTTGTCTCACCCACTAAGCTAAGGAGGCATCTAGGATGAGAAACCCGTTAAGCTCTACACAGCACTGAAACATAAAGGCCTCTAGGTTAATTTTAAAGGAAAAAAATGTTTTCTAGGATTGTGCTGTTTTTCCCTCTCCCTCTTGAAGTAAAATCCCTCTGAAATGCTTTTAAAATTTTTTCAGGTATCATTCCAAACTGATTTCCATAGTTCAAGAAAGAAAAATGTCTCAATATTTCCCCCAAAATAGAACACCAGGTCCTAACTGTGTTAGAAATCCTAGTTTATACTATCTACAAAGTTGGTTTATTATTATTAGAAGCAATTTGCAAACATATATAGAATCCTCTTTGTTTTACATTCCAAACAAGCCACTGTTTTGAAAAACACAACTTTCTTCATAAGGAAAAGGATCATGACTATTAGGGCTGCAACATACATCCCAGTTGTGAAATTCAAGACCAGGATTCAGGGCATTCCTTTGCCTATCAAGAAGCCAGCACTCAAGATCCTGAGGTTCTCTCCTGCACTGTGCAGCTTTCTTGCTGTGAATTGTCAGGCACCTTATCAAATATTTATGCCTTGAATTAGGGGTCTGTAAAATGATTAGAATAATGCTCCTCTTACTCATTAGGAGGCTCCAAAGCTCAGTGTTTACTGGATGTTTCTGGGTGCCTATTTAGCAAGTTGCAGGCCATGAAGAGAGAAAATACCATTCGCCGCCAAAAAGAAAAAAAAAAGTTGTTTTTCTTTTTTCAGGCAAAGTTGGACATAGTAAGCTCTGGTTTTGTTGTTTAAACGCTAGCCCTGTAAGAAAGGTACTGATGGTTTTTTCCTTTAATCTAATACCTTTAAGTAATCCCAAATTTTAGTTAGGGAAGAAAATGTCAAAAGTTCAACTATGGCTATCAGTGCATGATGGAGGAGGTAAGGGCTCCTCCCTTTTTTTTCCCCTTCATTTTCTAATTTGTGTACATTAAACAGACATCATTGTTATAATTAAAAAATAGGCACATGCAAATATTCTTATTGTAAAGAACTGTTTATACTAAAGAGGCCAATTATGACAAATGGAATTATTGGTCCCAATTCTTTGCTCCCCTGTAGCAGTGTTGTACATCTGCACCTTTGCCAAGGTTATCACGTGGGTAGAACATGCTTCCGGACCTTGACTCTGGGCTTTATAATATGACTTGCTCTGGCCAATAGAAAATTCGCAGACATAATGCCCACAGAAGCTTGAAACATGCCTGAGCTGATGGACATGCACTCTCATGCCATGGATTAATTGCATGGTTTTAATTTACTTTTGTAATTAAGGGACAAGGATCACCAAAAGAGAGAGTCAGCCCTGGATTCCAAATGAGCATAAACTTTCCCACCTAGGATTCACTCCAATTAATCCTGTCAGAGTTTACTAAGCACCTTCTGTATTAGGAACAGTGCAGTTTTCTGGAGCCACAACACTCAGGTTCAAGTCTTGGCTCTGTTATTTGTGAACACCATGATCTTGTGCCATTTATTCAAACTATCTGTTCCTCAGAGTTTTCATCTGTAAAATGGGCATAAGACTGTCTCCCTCACAAGTGGATAAATATGTTTAAGAACTAAGTAAGTCAATAAATGTAATTCCCTGCAAACAGTGCATGCCACACAGTAAGCTCTTAAAGTTAGCTATCATTATTATTAGTGATAAGAAGATGAAAACATCACAGATCTTCCTCTCAAAAAGCTGAGTTTAATTAAACTTATCAAAGATAATTGGGTGACAAAAGTTTCAAGCTACAAGCCTTCACAAAAAAAAAAAAAAATTTGTTTTAAAGAAAGCAGTAGAAAATTGCCAAAGTAAAGACTTTTAGATTAAAACAGGGCTAAGCAAGAGGAAGATGGCTGGTCTTTACCATACAAAATCTATCAGGCACAGACTTCTGATGGCAAAACCACTTTGACTTAATTAAGTTCAGCAACAAGTTATGTTCCAAGGTAAGATCACATGTGATTATTCATAGCTGCCTATAACTAGTGGAAACTATGTTTCTTAAAGATCAGAAATGAGATTTTCTTTCTGCTCCAAGTGGACGCTAGCACATTGCCTGACACAAAGTAGAAACTCAGTGGATAAGGTACCCAAACTGATGTTCAGAAGCCTAAGTTCTCCATCAACTGCAATTCAATTCATGCTGTACATAATACTGATAGCCACCCATCAGTGGCTAAGTGCTTTGCATAAATTCTTCCATTAAATCCTCAGCTAAGCTATTTAGAGGACTAATTAGAACGTTTTCTTCATATTCCAACAAAACCTACAAGCAACTGTTTTTAAAACCAGACTGATGTTCGTGAGATTCTTTTAAGCTCTCTCTCTCCTAAGGGCTAATAAACATTTTTTTAAATTATCTGACCTAACATTTAACTATCTAAATTAACTGTATAGCACACCAAATTTTTTAAGAGTAGAAATTGCCAGAGCTATTGAGGTTATGAAATGGGAATCAACTGCAGATTTTCTTTTTTTTAAGCTGTAAGCCAAATGCCATGATATCTGCATCAACACCTATACCCCTACATTGTTTTAAAGCTTTAAGTCAACTCCTCCAGCAAAAATTGGAGAGTACCATTATTGCCCATGGCCCCTCCTTTTGGTTAAAATACTTTAACCAAAGTAAGTAAATTTCCTAAGTGAAATTAGTAAGCAAAGGGATGAGTATTTTAACCATTAATATTTAATTCCCCCCACCTACAAAATAAAGGTTGAACTACCTAATTTTTAGGATCTCCCTGAAAAAAGCAAATAGTCTGAATCTATAAAGGAAAGCAAAGAAAAATTCCCTAATAAGCATTAAAAGAATACCAGTAAAACTCAGGCATGAACATTTACTTAAACTTAGTGAAGTACAGCAGGTTTGTTTGTGTTTTTTTGTTTTGTTTTGTTTAGTTTTTGATGAATTTCTTCCCTTTGGCCTGAGGTCAGTTTCACCCTGCATTCCAGCAGTATGCCACAATGGGGCAAATGTTCTAGACTCTACTGAGCCTAATGTCAGAATCATTTCCGTTCCCAGAAATTTCATCTCCAGAAAGTCAAAATCCGTAATTCTCCAAAAAATGTGAGCAATTCAACTTATTTTTCAGACCACTTAAGAACTGGCACAGTAGACCATCATGTACAGAGAAAACTCTGCTTTGGGGTTTAAAATAAATATCTTCTCCAAAGATATTTATATTTAGAGGGAAAAAGCACTTAGAATGAAATAGAAATTGAACCTCCAGTGACTTAAAGTCACATAACATGAAAATTTATACAGTGAGTTATTAAAAAATGCTTAAAATTATCTTAAGTTGGCTATCTTTCAAGTCACCACAAGTGATTTGTGGGTTCTCTGTATTTGAAAAGTTTTTAAATTAATTTTTACAAACTGATGAAAGAGCGTGAAAGGAAAAAAAGGATGAAAGATTTGAAGAGATACTTCACAAAAGATAAATGCCCAAAAAGCACATGCAAAGATGTTCAACATCATTTAGTCGTCAAGAAAATACAAATTAAATCCACAATGTGATAGGACTATCCATCCATTAAAATGGCTAAAATTAAAAAGGCTGGCAATACCACAAGTTGGCAACGATGCAGAGCAATCAGATCACTCATCTGTTGCTGGTGGGAATGTAAAGACGGTACAATTTTGGAAACAGTTTGGCAGTTTCTTATCAAGTTCAATATACGCTACTGATACATGCACCAACATAGATGAATCTTAAAAACATACTGAGCGAAAGACGCCAGCCACAAAAGAACATGTACTGATTCCATTCATGGTAAATTTTTAAGATGAACCTAAGCTGCGTGACAAAAGCAGATCTCTGGTTGCCTGGGGCCAAGAAAGGAGGAGGGGGTTGAAAACGATGAGATCGGGCCAAGGAACCATTCGATATCTCGACTGTGGTGGTGGCTATGCGGCAGTATACACTTGCCAAAATCCATACACATGGACACTTAAAATGGGTCCATTTTATTGTACATAAATTTTATTTCAGTAAGAAACTTCATTTGTAAAATCCGCAATTTTACTGCCCTCTGGATTAGATCAGCTTTCACCAAGCAGTCTGCAGAGAGGCAGGCCCATTCTGAAGCAGGCGGGTTTTCACACGTGGGATTCAGGCATCCGTCAGGACCTGCTGGTGGGTCCATGAGGTTCCTCCTCTGCTAGGTCTGTCACTCAGGACTCACCTGTCAGAGCCCCTCCCAGGCTGCCCCGCCGCAGCTCTCGACCATCCTCACTCAGCTGTCTTTTAAACCTCAGTGACTTTGCAGGGCCAGAAGTCACATCTGGGTTGCTGCACTTCCGAAACGGCATGGGTGGCGGGGAGAGTATGTGGTCAAGCTGCAGAGAGAAAGAAGGGATGTCACTCACTGAGGACACTGTCAACACAGCCAGCATGCAACGCCAACTCCTGGGCTCCTCTTCTCTTATCCTTCCCTAAATCCCTCCCGCCGAAGCCTGCTGCTCATTTGGTTACTTTAGACAATTCAGAGTTTTACTGTCATGTCCTGCATCTGAAAAACATTCTGGCTTACTGCAAAATCTCAATAGCAATGATTTTTAAGCTGTGGGTCACAACAAACTAGTGGGTCATGAAATCAAGTTTAGTAGACCTAAACAGTATTTTTTTTTAATACACTATAAGTTGTTAGAGTCCAATGAAGGAAGGAAAAGTACCATTTCATGAAATGTCTGATAAAGCTATGCTTGTACATGTGTCCTTAGTCACTGTGTCAAATATATGTCTTTCCACGGGTCATGATCCCTCTAAAAAATGAATAATATTGTTCTACAAAGAATCAATAGATCACTGCTTTAGCTGTCCACAAAGAAAATCCACAAGCTGCTGGTGCTCACAAATATGCACAGGGAAGGGCAATTTCTAAGCACCACAACCTTAATGCAAATCAATACATCCCTGTATCACTTTATCGCTTTTTAAAAGAAAACCTGTCACAAGTACAGCATCCTTTCTTGATCAAAACTCTTCAGAGTATAGGGATAGAGGGTACATACCTCAATATCATAAAAGCCATCTATGAAAAACCTACA